GAGCCGGGCCGACCGCACTGCATCCGTCTCTCGTCGTGTCCAGTGCCGCCGACCGCAGCAGCCAGGGTCATGGGACCCAGACCCCCGACGCCGCGATCTTTTCACAACGTCGTCTCCCGGAGGTCTGAGCCCCTTCCCCGGCGCCGGTTTCTCATCCTGAGTTTGGGCGCCGCGTAATGGGGGGGTCATTTATAAATGGGGGGGTGTCGCGGGTGGTCCGAAAAGGTACCCAAACGGTACCTAAACGAGCCCCCTGGGGCTCCGGAGGGGCCCGAAAGGGGCACGAAAGGGGACCTTTTTTGACCCCCCCATTTGTGACCCCCCCATTAAGCCACGCCCAATGAGTCGCTATTTGACGGCCCCAGGGCCCGGCAAGGGCCCCGGAGGCCGAAAATGGCGAGAAGCTCTCGCGGTGATCTTTGTCGCAGCGTCGGGGGGCCCGGGGACGGGCGCGGGCGAGGCGGCCGCGGCTGAGGAGGCCTCCCTCCGACCGAGGCCCCCCGGGGCCATGTCGGGGGGGAGGTGCGCGGGCGGCGGCACGGCCCCGCGAGCCCGAGGCCCCCCGGGGCCATGTCGGGGGGGAGGGGCCGTCGAGGGCTCGGCCCTGGGAGCCCGGCGGCCGCCGCGGGATCCGTGCCTCCGCTTCTGCCTAGCCCTGCCCCTCCTGCTCCGGGAGCCCAGGCCTCCTCGCGTCGTGACTCCATCTCCTCCTCCTCCTCCCCTCTCCCCTCCTCCTCCTCCCTCCTCCCCCTCCTCCTCCTCCTCCTCCTCCTCCTCCTCCTCCTCCTCCTCCTCCTCCTCCTCCTCCTCTCGTGAAAGAGTCGCGACGGCAGGCTTTTCGCCACTCTCGGCCCCCGCGGGGCCCTCGCCGGGCCCCCCGGGACGAGAAGGCGGTCCCGCGGGAGGGGTCCAGGCCTCTGGGGGTCGACGCTGTGGGAGAAACAAGACGACGGGCGTCTGGGTCCTGCCCATCCTCCTGCTCCAGGAAAGGGCCTCTCCGCGACCTCGTCTGTCCTCCTCGTCCTCCTCCTCGTCCTCCACCTCCTCCTCCTCCTCTTCCCTCTTCTCCCCCTGGCCCACGCCCCGTGCTTCCCGTACTTGCGCGAAAAGTTTGTGCTGCTGGCAGGTGGGTCGGGGAAGGCGCGGGGGGTGGAGCCGATGGATTGGATACCACCTAATGCTTTCACAAGATCCCAATATCCGTAAGGGCTTCGCCCCCTGCCGCCGGCCCCCTCTCTCGAAGAATGGGCCATGGAAGAGCGAAGTCATGAGGCTTTGGCTTCGCCGTGAAGCAGTGTCGGGACCTGTTTGTTTTTCGACCCTGACCCTACGGATCTGCGTGAGGGGTGCCGCCGAATTTCAGAAATGTGGCAAATTCCTTATGTTTTTGGACCCTGACCCCACGGATCTGCGTGAGGGGTGCCGCCGAATTTCAGAAATGTGGCAAATCCCGCGTGTTTTTGCACCCTGACCCCGCCGATCTGCGTGAGGCGTGCCACCGAGTTTTAGACATGTGGCAAATCCCATGTGTTTTTGCACCCTGACCCCGCCGATCTGCGTGAGGCGTGCCACCGAATTTCAGAAATGTGGCACATCCCATGTGTTTTTGGACCCTGACCCCGCCGATCTGCGTGAGGCGTGCCACTGAATTTCAAAGATGTGGCAAATCCTTTTGTTTTGCACCCTGACCCCGCCGATCTGCGTGAGGGGTGCCACCGAATTTCAGAAATGTGGCAAATCCCCTGCATTCTTACACCCTGACCCCGCCGATCTGCGTGAGGGGTGCCACAACATTTCAGAAATTTGGCAAGTCCCTTATGTTTTTGCACCCTGGCCCCGCCGATCTGCGTGAGGGGTGCCGCCGAATTGCAAAAATGTTTCAAATCCCATGTGTTTTTGCACCCTGACCCCGCCGATCTGCGTGAGGCGTGCCACCGAATTTCAGACATGTGGCACATCCCATGTGTTTTTGGACCCTGACCCTGCCGATCTGCGTGAGGGGTGCCACCGACCTTCAGAAATGTGGCACATCCCATGTGTTTTTGGACCCTGGCCCCGCCGATCTGAGTGAGGGGTGCATTTTTTTCCTAACCATCCTGTAGTGTTGGGTCTTGGTTTTGAAGAGACGGTGCCCCGCGTTCCTCCTCCTCTCCTCCTCCTCCTCCTCCTCGCCCTCCTCCCTCTTAGGGTTCGCATGCCTCCCCACCCATTTCGGCACACCCCTCACACGTTTCGTGGCCCCATAGGGAGCTCCACCGAAGGTCCCAGTGGAGGGAGCCCCACCGAAGGCCCCAGTGGCAGGGTTCATGCCTCCCCACCACCCATTTCGGCACACCCCTCACACGTTTCGTGGCCCCATAGGGAGCTCCACCGAAGGCCCCAGGTGGCAGGGTTCGCATGCCTCCCCACCACCCATTTCGGCACACCCCTCACACGTTTCGTGGCCCCATAGGGAGCTCCACCGAAGGCCCCAGTGGCAGGTTCGCATGCCTCCCCACCACCCATTTCGGCACACCCCTCACACGTTTCGTGGCCCCATAGGGAGCTCCACCGAAGGCCCCAGTGGCAGGTTCGCATGCCCCCCTCCACCCATTTCGGCACACCCTTCGTATGTTTCGTGGCCCCATAGGGAGCTCCACCGAAGGCCCCAGTGGCAGGGTTCGCATGCCTCCCCACCACCCATTCGGCACACCCCTCACACGTTTGGCCCCATAGGGAGCTCCACCGAAGGCCCCAGTGGCAGGGTTCGCATGCCTCCCCACACCCATCTCGGCACACCCATCACACGTTTCGTGGCCCCATAGGGAGCTCCACCGAAGGCCCCAGTTGGCAGGCTTCGCATGCCTCCCCACCACCCATCCCGGCACACCCCTCACACGTTTCGTGGCCCCATAGGGAGCTCCACCGAAGGCCCCAGTGGCAGGGTTCGCATGCCTCCCCACCACCCATTTCGGCACACCCCTCACACGTTTCGTGGCCCCATAGGGAGCTCCACCGAAGGCCCCAGTGGCAGGGTTCGCATGCCTCCCCACCACCCATTTCGGCACACCCCTCACACGTTTCGTGGCCCCATAGGGAGCTCCACCGAAGGCCCCAGTGGCAGGGTTCGCATGCCTCCCCACCACCCATTTCGGCACACCCCTCACACGCTTCGTGGCCCCATAGGGAGCTCCACCGAAGGCCCCAGTGGCAGGGTTCGCATGCCTCCCCACCACCCATTTCGGCACACCCCTCACACGTTTCGTGGCCCCATAGGGAGCTCCACCGAAGGCCCCAGTGGCAGGGTTCGCATGCTTCCCCACCGCCCATTTCGGCACACCCCTCACACGTTTCGTGGCCCCATAGGGAGCTCCACCGAAGGCCCCAGTGGCGCATGCCTCCCCACCACCATTCGGCACACCTTCAGACGTTTCGTGGCCCATAGGGAGCTCCACCGAAGGCCCCAGTGGCAGGGTCCGCATGCCTCCCCACCACCCATTTCGGCACACCCCTCACACGTTCGTGGCCCCATAGGGAGCTCCACCGAAGGCCCCAGTGGCAGGGTTCGCATGCCTCCCCACCACCCATTTCGGCACACCCCTCACACGTTTCGTGGCCCCATAGGGAGCTCCACCGAAGGCCCCAGTGGCAGGGTTCGCACACCCCTGCGTGGCCCCATAGGGAGCTCCACCGAAGGCCCCAGTGGCCATGCCTCCCCACCACCCATCTCGGCACACCCCTCACACGTTTCGTGGCCCCATAGGGAGCTCCACCGAAGGCCCCAGTGGCAGGGTTCGCATGCTTCCCCACCACCCATTTCGGCACACCCCTCACACGCTTCGTGGCCCCATAGGGAGCTCCACCGAAGGCCTCAGTGGCAGGGTTCGCATGCCTCCCCACCACCCATTTCGGCACTCCCCAACACCCATTTCGGCACACCCCTCACACGTTTCGTGGCCCCATAGGGATCTCCACCGAAGTTCGGGGGGAGTTTGACACTGGTATCCTTGCGGTACTCGCAGCTGCATATGGTTGGGTCCTTCGCCAGGCGAATTACTTACCCCAGCAATTCAGACAATACGATTTGGGCGTGGAAAAAATGCTTGTTTTAGGCCTCCCCACCTCTCGCGGTCCATCAACAAGGAACAGCAAGCAGCAAGAAGTCAACAAGGAACAGCAAACAGCAAAAAGCAGAATTGTAACAGTGGAGACATGAAGCTGCAACTGGTACAGGAAACCGCGAACCTCCAGCCTACAGCCTGGTGGCCCCACAGGGGGGCCGGCGAATCTTTCAACAGATGTCCCCCTCCTCGTTCCCTTCCACCTCTCGCGCCTGCACCTTCCTTGAATCGAATATCCTTGCCAGTCCCTGTCAGCAGAACCTGATCAGCGTCTCGGGTGTTCGTGGGGAGGCCTAGCTTGCGGCGCATGGCGGGGAGGAGAATAAGGATGATGCACCAGTCACGAATGCAAGGACTTGTAACACTTCGGGCGGCCCTGAAGCGGCTCAGGAGTCTCTTCCGTTATCCCGCTGAAGATATTCCGCGTTATGCGCAGCCAGACCTTTGCAATCTTCGTTTTCTGCTCAGCTTAGGGTTTCGGGGGGGCCCAGGGGCCTCGTGGGATCTTGGGAGCTGTGTTTTCCCCAAAGAGTTGATTCACCGATTCTTTGGGGCTCGCTTTGCGGAAACACGGGCGGACGGCAGTGGCTGCCTCGCGGGTTCGGCCGCAAGCCTCGCGCTGCGCATCTCGGCGCGTCATGGTCTTGGTCTGCATCCAGCCTGCCCCCCCTGATTCGGCACGTATGCAGAGGAGGAAAAGGTACCCGAACCGCTACCCTTCCCTCGCTTGTCCCTTCTTGGGCCTCCTGGGAGGTCCTCGTTGCCACTGCTGGATTCGCTTCGGAAATCTCGCTCCCCCGCCTGCGCGCAGGGCGCCCCGCGTGCGCGTCGCCCTCGCCGCCGTCCTGCGCGGCCTTGCGCTGGCAGGGTGGGCGTCGCTTTCTGCAGCGGCCCGTCCTC